CGAAACTGTCACCATAAAGGTAATAGTGAAGGGTCCTAGTCCCCGTCAAAATTATCAAGGACCGTGTAGATTGATGGTGACACGTTGAAGTTATATGCTACACTACTGCAATTAGTATTTGATGCCATAAAAACGTCAATGCAACCTTGCGAGATGCAGTACACTCTGGTTGAGAATAGCATAAAGACTGTTCATTTTATCGTTAGAACACTCAACTATCAGTCGTTTATTATTTTATGCAACCTTGGCTGACCAGAATTCTTGGTCAGGATCTACCGTTCGTCGGAAGCTTACTTACTAAGAATGTAAGTAGATCGAAAGTTTGGTATAATCCAGCCGGGTGTTGACTATCTTTTTTTGAAGCAAGAGCAAGTGAATTTGGATGGAACCATCACGACAAGACATGTGATTTTGGGCGAATTCAACTTTCAGCACTTGGTCCCCTTTTACAAATGGGGTTAGCTACCACTATTATATATGCGAAGAAAAGTTGGTTTTAGAGGAATCTTTTTCTTCATAATTGTTGAGCTTACTTCCATTTCGAGTGAAAGTGTTTGGTGAAGAGACGGCGGCTTCTTCTTCTTCTTGACCAGCTGTCGATTGGCTTTACTGGACGATTCATGCTGACGCTGTTTCCGAGGCAATCTCCTTCGATTCCGATCCGTCATGTGACGGTCATAATCATAATCCTCAAAACAAAATCACTCTATATTTGATCAAAGAGGCCAGATGTAGAGTATATATACCAATTTTTAGGGATTGGCCGGTGAGTTTTCCTAACTCGTTAGCTTGAATTTTGTTGTGACGATGATACCTCGCTCTGATGATGTCCGTCATATGACGGACGAAAGCTTACCTTCTTTTCACCGGAATCGAAGGAGACTGCCTCGGAAACAGCGTCAGCATGAATGTTCGAGTAGAGCCAATCGGCGTCGTCTTCTGGTGGAATCGACCTGCAAATCTCTTCACGCAACACTTTCACCGGAAATGGAAGTAAGCACAACAACCATTCTACACCAACCTTGTCCTCCTCCATTTTCAACTCGTCCGATTCCGCTGTCTCGGTCGCAAGGCAACCGTTCGCCAAACGCTGTGACCCGCAGACTGGCGTCTCTCCGGCTTGGCGACAAAGTTGCGCCAGCAAATGCATCGTGGCCGGGGCCAGAAGGCGAATGGCCTCCACCGTCGAGCCAGCGGTTGCCGTGAGTGCGTCGAGGCGCTGTTCGAGTCCGCCCAGGCTCCAGACGGCCTGCGGCGACTCTTCCGGCGTCGACGGCGTGCCCGGCGGCAATAGGCCGGGCGAAAGGGAATGTTGCACTTGGGCCAATTGGCCCATCTGCCGAGGCGCCGGCTCGAGGCCACAAGAGAAGGAGGAGGAGGAAGATGAGCAAGAAGAGGAGGAGTAGGCGGAGAGGCAAGAGGAGGAAGAAGAGGAAGAGTAAGAGGAGGAGCAAGAAGAGGAAGAGGGGAAGAGAGTAGGCCAGTCGGACGGCACTCTGGCCGTAGCGATTGGGGCCTGTTCGAGTCTTGTCCAGGCCTCGGGCTGAGTGGCATCGGCGGTCAGAGCCCGCCAGTTGGCGAGTAGACGAAGCAGATGCGGTTGTGAGACGCCCAAGGAAGTGGACAGCAGCATGGTTGCATCTGTCAACGGCATGACGGGCAAATCGTCGTTTGGCGAGGCCAATGTGGTTGGGACATTTTGCATTTGCTGCTCCTCTTCCTCTTCCTCCTCTTCCTCCTCGTCGTCTTCTTCTTCTTCTTCTTCCTCCTCATCCTCATCTTCCTCCTCCTCATCTTCCTCCTCCTTTTCCTCCTTTTTTTCCTCCTCCTGCTCTCCCATCGCCGTCGCCGTCGTCGGTGCCAGCGCAAACCGAGCCGCTGCTTCGGCCGCGGCGACTTGAGACGATGAGACGAAGCCCGCCTCGGCAGGAAGCAGAAGCAACGAGGCGAGAGCATTCCATCCGGTCGTGGCCGACTCGCAGAAATGAGACAGATTGACCTGGTCGAGAGACGAACGACCGTCCGTCTTGAGCCAGGGCAGGCGGGAACAAGTGCAGTGGGAAAGGTAGTCATGCGGACTGTCGGTCTCTTCTTCCTCTTTCTTGCCCGACATTGGCAAGCTCAAGTCTCCCACGTCCGTCGGCGTCTCGACCTCTGACCTCCTCAAGCAGTCGGCCTCGCCACCGGCCGACCACTCGATCGAGCCGC